CCTCGGCATTCCCCGGCACATCGAGGGGCCTGCAGCCACCCACACCCACCGCCTTCATGAGACTTCAAGAGACTTCATGAGACTTCATGAGACTTCTTGAGACTTCATGAAACTTCATGAAACTTCATGAGACTTCAAAGACTTCAAGGGACTTTATGAGACTTCAGGGACTTCAAGAGACTTTATGAGAATTCATAAGACCTCAAGAGACTTCAAAAGACTCCAAGAGACTTCAGAAGACTTCAAAAGACTTTCAAGACTTCACGGGACTTCACGGCTGAAGTCTCTGCTGTTTCCCCCTTGCCTAACTCACTCACTCACACATACATATTATTCACTAATCGAAGTTCTATATTTGTTTTTTCATCCAAAAGAAAACATTGCTTTTCTATCAATCTTCGTATATAATTTTGTTGTTAACGCATCAACACAGTATCTAGATGTCTATCACAACACTAAATCATCACATAAAAGCCTTGAACTTATTAAAAGTTTCACACACTGTAACAGACATGTTAAGTTTCTGTTTTTAACCTTTGAGCCAAGTAATTTATATTATAAAACTCGTCAGTACGGCTCTGTGCAGGATCAAAGTGTGAAATTGACAAATTTTAATTGTTATAAATTTACGGTACATTGTCGGAGAGTTTGAAATAATTTATTTGAAATAATGCCAAATATAATAATACATATGATAAATCTTATAGAAAGTGGCAATATATCTTTTTATTCTTCGTTTCCTGGTTTCGACCAAGAGAGTAGATTGCTAGACACATCGATTTAATTGTTCAGTAAGCTTTTGGACACGCCACATTCATTCTCTCGAGAAACTTTGACACATACTATTGACTCTTGCCTAAATTTAGAATTTAGTTCATGCATACTTTTCTATGCTCCTCCTATTCTAAGTCTGTTAGACTAATAATAACATTGCACTAGTGATCGGCACCAGCAATAACATCCTTTCACCGTACTAAATACCAAAGTTTACACTATGTAGACTGTAGAATCTATAGTAATAATATCCGATTCTTAGAATGTTTTGAAAGAGTCTAGATAAGTTCAGACTAATCTCAGCACCGTTCTTATTGACGATCTTTTTCCCGCTGCCATGAAAATGTCTCGAATAATTATTTGATTTCCACCCTCAGTTTTTACGACCTAAGAGAGCCGAAAAATCTCGCCTTAAAATTCGACTCACTATTATTTTATTCGAAAATAAACTTGAAGTCCATAAAAGATCATCAAACTCTTTTTTTGATTCATAGCGATGGAAATGTATTCTTTTGAGAACGCTTTGAGGGCTTCGCTGGAACATACTTTTTTGCAGTGTTTTTAATGATACAATGTATTTCGTTCGGATTTGGTTTAGTTCCTTTATTTCTGCAATTCGCAGAACTGACTGGAAAATGGACTGTTGCTAGCAGATTTCTGCCGAATCTAGACACCGGAATCTTCGACCGGGGTAATATAATAGAATACTACGAACAAATCAAAATGAAGCTTATAAATGATTCGGTCATTGTATACACGAGACAAAGTTTTAAACCAAACCAGTTTAAAATGCAGATATTCATGTCCTATAAATAAAACACTCAATTGCAACCATTTGGATACAAAAACTAATGTTTTATGCTTGAAAACTCAAAATTTTGTCACCATTGACTTTTAAAGAAAACTATTCTAGGTGAGAACTGAAAATTATCTATGAAATGCTGGTACTATTTGCTTACCTTATTCGTATACCGCTAACTAAAAGATAAGGCCATTTAGTGGAACTGATGCGGATATACTTAAATTTTTTATTGTATTGCTATTTATATAACGGAAACTTTCCTTTTTCGTTTCTTTTCGTTCTTTTCTAAGCATCATATGAAGGGAAGAAATGATTTCATTGCAGTAGGATGTATAGATAAGATTGAAAATGAAAAAAAGAAAAAGAAAAAATTTTTCATCTATCATATGGAAATTTCTTTCCTATCACTGAAGTATTAAAAGTGCATTTTAAATAACGATTGACAGTTTCACCGTATTTTTCCTATGAAATGAAAAAATGATTCATGAATTAATTTACTTCGCACGAAAATGACAGAACACAAGTTAGTTTGTCAAAGCACTGAATCGTATGACTCACAAGGAAAAAAACCAATGTTGCTTTCACTCGTGTTCTTCGTCCTCTTTTTGCGTGTTGTTTTTTTCCACGTGTTATTCTTGAGAAACAGCCTAGTTAATTTGTCTTTTTTTCCGTACACTGATGAGAGAGGGTTGTTCGGTATAATTCAAAAGCCTGTTTGCGTGTAGAGTATTTTCATAATGGACGATCAAAGTAATTAAATCGTTAGTAAACGTAAACAGACATTTCAATCTGGAAATAATCGAAAACACTTCTCAGAGATAAATACACTATAATTTACATTTGAAAAGTACTTTTCTTTTCGTTTCTTTTTCAGATTAGATGCATCAAATATACCGTGCTAGATAGCAATTCCAATCCATTTACTAATGATGTTGCAGGTGATTTACCAGATTTTTTTTCTTCTCTTTCTGCATTCTGAAGCTGTATTTGCTATGCTTTATTCTAATTGGTTTATAGATCATGCGTCGTATCTAAGATCAGAGCAGAAGACGATTTGATTGGCGAAAAAAGCCATAGGAATGTAGAGTGGGTGTGGATGTGGGTGTAGATAAAGAGATATCACACACCCACACCCTGATTTGCACGTCTTTGCTCAAGATGAGGATGCCGAATTTTCTCAATAACTACCATTACTTTTGCATTTCACACACTCTCTCATAACATATGGAATGGTATGCGTGGACAATTCGTTCTCGTTCATGTCTTCATTTAATCACCTACGTATCCAGATGATGACGATGATGATCAGAGCTATGTGTCATTTGAATTACCTGATCTCTATATTCTACTTATAGAACGAGATCAAATCTTGTTAAAATTTATCAAGTCTCTTCTGCTGCTACACATGCCAAATCTAATTCGTTTATCTGCCGTTAACGCTTCCAAAAAACAAATCATCATATTTGCTCATTCATGGGAACAAATCATTCCGGATTATGTTCCACGTCTAAAGCTTTTTTGATTCCATGTTACTGGACCGACCGCAGACGTAACTCTAACAATTGAGGAATTTTTAGAGCCCTTTCAAAGAGAGCTTTGGCAAAAACGACAATGATACGTCGGTATCGATGTTGTATATGACAAGATCGATCATCTTTTTACGCTACCATACTCCATTCAAAGCGTTTTCCTTCAGAATGATTGCAAATCTTCCACGAGATTTAACGACAATACAATTGTCATGAAAGTAATCTAAACTGCTGATCAATTATATATTGTGATGTTTTTTGACATCCACATGAATTGTGCAGTCAATTTAATCATAAGAAAGATAGTTTTTTAAAACATATTTGATATTTTGTGAGTAATGTTGATCACTATTAATAAACAATTAAACCGTTCAATGTGTGAACTTTTCCGTCGCTTCACTTTAATTGATGCGAAGTTTGCAGTATACTTACTAACATAAAAAGAATTGTACTCAATAAGTTGGTAACTTAAACAGGATACAGGGGTTCAACATTTCAGCCCAAAGAGAGAGTTGAGCTGACAAACTTTTATACAAACAAAGAATTATGCAAAAACAATTCGAAAAATTTATAGTTTAGAGATGATATCAATCTGTCTCAGAAAGAGTTGTAAAATATCTCTTTCATTGTAAAAATTCGAATAATTCATATTCGTCTTTGGGTTTCATGATCAAGAAGCACAATGTGCAATAACGTTATTGTGCTTCTAGAGATGAACGAACTACAATGATATGCGCTTTGTTTGATTTCGCGTTTATTTAAGATAATTTCGAGAAGCGACTCCATTCAACCAATGATAATTATAAATTCAAAATTTATTCCACCTAGAAGAAAAATCGCTGCATGATCTCGGTTTTTACAATGGTTATGATATCCAGTAGATTCTGTGGATTATTCTCTCAAGTGGTAACATTATAGTTCTTTTAATTATTAATGTGAAAGAAAATGTCATAAATGTCTCTCCGTTCTTATCCAAGCTTTACATAAAATATTTTGAACAAGTCGAACGAGATACAGATATAAAAGTCATGTGCATCGCATCATTTGATAAAAAAAGGTATCATTCTCTTCGAACGAAGAACATACATACAAGTAAAAGAAAAAGTATCTCCTTCTTGAATGTATTTACTCATCTTTCAGATTCAATTCTTCTGAAGATGTTTGATGATGGTTGAATTGAAATAAATTCTTTTTCTTATTGAAGAAAATCTCTAAGGGATATTGATACATGTATGTTCTGGCTTGATGAAATACTATTTAACGCAGATTAAACATTGCTAGGATATTGATTATTAAAGTGACATTTTTTCTTCTTCTCAATCTACGTGTAACATATATTCGTTCTTTTCATGTTTAGTGATTATGCTTAAAAACCTGCATACGTAAGAAAGAAATAACTAATTATAATCGAATAAACAGTTGAAATCACATGAAAAGCAGAATTATTCTCTCCGAGATACTGAACTTGATAGGTTTGATTGTTACCATTGTCTGTAAATAAAATACTTCCATCTTTCAGTACAAGCAGCCCAACAGGCCGACCAAATACTTCTGGATGAGTTTCATTTGTTAAGAGATCATAAACAAAATCTTTATAATAGCCTATTGGACGATGATTTGAGTTATTAAGCGGTATAAAAATAATTTTTGAACCAGTTGCTACTTGTCTGTTGCCTGAAACACGTAATGCTACGAATGCACCATTTCAGCATCGTTCAGAAAATTGTTGACCTGTATAGAAAGGGACACCAAGTGCACTTGAATGTGTTTGAATAAGAACATCTGGCCAACGTATAAGAACAGCAAGATCTGGTCATTCACTTGAACCATTGTTGAGCTTATGTCTGGGATCTATTAAACTTGAAATCAAATAAGCGTATGGCCAACCAAAATAACTATGTTCTGGCACATGTGTAAAAAGAATCAGGTACAAGATCGTCAGCGAGTTCATCACGTTCTTGACATGAAGCACATAGATCATGTGGTATCGGGTAAAATGCTAGACCGACAACGTTTCTTAGGCCAGTGACAAAGGTTTTTTGATTAGTTCCATCAAAATTAGCAACTTGAATAGATCCTAATAGTAACGATTCAATATCAATATTTGAAGCTGAACCAATACCAACATACATGTAATCTTCTGTTGGCTGTATGGCAATAGTTCGGGTAATATAACGAACTTCACTATAAGACATGATTCTATCACCTTGACCCAATAATCGCTGAGAACAACTTGATCATTTGTAAGGTCTTATATTAAATTGATTACCTGAATACAAATATCCATTTACAAATGCTATACCAAATGAATACTTCCTGCAACATAAAATACGATAGTAATTAATTTTAATACTTCAGATTTTGATTTTTGATTATCGGCTGCAGTAAATGTAGCACGTAATTCTGGTCCATCAATATGTCGTGCAAATGCTTGAAGTAGTGTGTAATAACTTTGTAGAATTTTTCGTTTTAAATAATATCCAAATAATAAGAAATTGAACCAATTCGGAAAAAATATAAATGGTTTTTCGACACAATTAATAAAAGCAACTCGTTCATTTTTTCTTAATTCACCATCCGTTGCCAAGAAAAATATGACTTCACTGATTGCTTGATATACACTATATTTGCTTGGTTGTTCATCGATTCTACGTGGTACAATTCTAGATAAATGAAGTCGTGCTTCAGAGTCTGCCTTGAATAAATGATGCGGAAAGGCGTGTAGCCATTGAAAAATAATATGACGACTTAGTTTCATATTTGGATTATCTGATGAAAGAAATACAGTCGTTAAATCACAAAATGTTTGTTGAGATGAAGAAACATTCCAGCCCAACGATTCAAAACCGTTACATGGTGGAATATCTTGTATATATCGTTTCACTAATTCATATGAACCAACACCAATACCATGGTCAAATACAAAATACGGTAGATCGTAAACTTTTGAAAAAGAATCTCCTAATGCATGGAATAATGCATTTGGATTCGATTCATTTAGAATATATTCAATAAATGTTGCTAATTGTAAAAGCAAAAATTTAAAATGCCAAATGCAATTTATTTTAGCCATTGATGTTGTAATTAACTTTAATCTCATTGTTACTGTAACATTACGAACATATTCAGGAATTCTCTTGTTTGGAGTTGCTTGTGAATGTGCATCTAGCTGCTGTATTAATGCCGATGGAGTTCGATACGTAATACGGCAATACATGATTAAAATAATGTAAACAGGCAAGGTAACAAAGAATAAGACTAACAATTCAAGTATACCAAGTGCGAAATGGTAGATTTTACGTAGAAATTTCGGAAAATTATCACCAAATCGAACGT